CCTGATACTGAGCTGAAATCTGCTTCTCTGCAATTTACCCCCACAGGTCCTGGTTCTGACCCTCCAGGATAAACATCTCCATTTCTTCTTTTTTTTTTCCCCCTTCTTTTATATAACATGGCTTCAGGTTCCCTCACGATCCTAGGCAGCTTCCTCTGGTCCTTCTCCCAATGATTAGACAGAGATAGCTTGGCTCTTTCATCTGCCTTGGGCTGAGAACCTCCCAGGCAGTGCCTGTAAGCAGCAGACAACCTGGGAAGCAAATGTAGGTCCTTCCTATTTAGAGGCAGGTTCTCCAGTCAGTCAGTGGAGTTAGCTTCTCTTTCTTCAGGTCCTGGCCATTTCACAGTTCATTAGCACCTCTGCCCAGGGGTAGAGGGTTTAAAGAAAATACTTCCAAGATCTAAGATAATGCATGCAGCTAGCTTCCTGCAACTGCTCCACCCAATCATTCCTAATCAACAACTATTTATAGTTAACTGTATGTTCAACACAAGACTGTGCAGGGCTGTATGGGCCAGACAGAGGAAAGAGCCTTCTATTTAGTTGAGAAAGTGACTAATACACAAGTCAAACTTTTACCTTAAATCCCCCAGGATCTAGAAACATAAGTTCATAGCTTTAGAGGTGGAAGAAACCCTTGAGGATATCAAAGTTCAATCCCCACATTTTACATATGAAGAAACTGAGGCCCAGGGAGGTTAAGTGACTTATCTTTTTAAAAAAGGGATATTTACTGAGAAGATAGAATAAGAATGGCACAGGTGTTTCCCTTCCCCCAAGGGAAAAGGGGGCACACTTTCCCCAAACCACCTCCGTCTCTTGTAGGTTCAAACAAAGCAGGTGATACAGAGCATATGCTTTCACCAAGTTCAGTCAGTTAGCCAGTCAGTCAATAAACATTTATCAAGTATCTACTATTTGTCAGGCACTGTGCTAAGCACTGGGTGTACAAAGAAAGATAAAAGATAGTCCCTGCTAGCAAGGAGCTCACAGTCTAATGAGAGAGACAGCATGTAAACAACTACATTCAAACAAGCTATAGACAATAAATTGGAGATAATCAACAAAGAATTAAGTTCAGTCAAGTGACTTGTCCAGGGACATACTCTGGATTAGTGACAGGTCAGGACTACTGGTCAGCAGCTTCCAATGACCAGCTTTCCCCACCATTCTTAAATCTTAATTCAATTAAATTCAATAGGATGGAGGGGTTTGTCCAGAACTGTGACTGCAACCTCAATTTTCTGAATAATCCTGTGGAAAGAAGGCTAGAATTGACTCAATGTCAATATGGACTGTCTGTGTGACCTTAAGCAGGTCATGTAATCTCTTAGGGCCTCAGTTTCCTCAACTGTATAATGAGACTGGACAACATGAACCTCTGAGGTCTCCTAAAACTAAAGTCCTACATATCAATCACCAATCAACAAGCATTAATTAAGAAACTGGTATGTGCCAGGCACTGGTATATGCCATCCTTGGATGCCCAATATGGTTTTTCCACTCCCTGAAGGGGGTGGCACTGAATTAGAAAGCTATCTGGGCGGCTATAAACACGGGGCAGAAGAGAGCTGTAAAATGCATATAAAGTACTTGGAAGTCCCAGAAAAGGAATTTTCCCAGAGAAATTTCTTGGAATTGGAGGCAAAGAAAATACTCAGGGAGAAGAGCTAATCTTGCAAGTAACAGAGTCAGGAAGCTCCACACCTTTAAGAAAGCATCCATGCTGGGCTGTTGCCCAAGTCAACTCAGAGAAGCTCTTCGAATCTGCTCCGTTGATTGTTTGGAAGGGGAAAAGTCCATAATGGGGAGTGGCCACTTTATTCAGGGCTGGGACTTAGTACTTGTGGGTATTAAAGGCTAAGCATAGCTAAAGAAGTTGATTTCTCTGCTTCTTTCAATTTGCCTTTTCCCTCAGGTGACATTTCCCTCAAATTTTGAGGGAAGAGAAGTGGGAAGTGAGAGGAGTTCCTTCCTAAGCTGCTGGTGGAATCTCTGCCTCTCTCCAAAGCACAGCCCTGCTACCTCGTGCCAACTAGTCTGTCTCTCAGTTAGAGCACTTTCTCTTGCTTCTGGGCCATTCCAGCAGCATTTCTAATGAGCCACTACGTACCGACCAAAGGCCTCAGTCAGGGCAAAGAGGGCTGATGCTGATGTGACAGAGAACTGGATTCAAGTCCTGCTTCTGACTCATCTTGGCTTCCAGACGCTGGGCAAGTCTCTTCACCCCTTGGTGCCCTGGGCAACTCTGACTGTAAGTTGTAGAGCAGGTGCTGACCTGTCTTGGTAGAAAGGAAATTCCTCATCTGGAGCTCCCTAGAGTGGTTAAATGGCGTGGTTGTTGTTCAATCATTTCAGGCCTGCGTGACTCTTAGTGACGCCGTTTGGAGTTTTCTTGGCAGAGATAATGGAGTGGTTTGCCCATTCTCTTCTCCAGCTCATTATCCAGATGAGGAAACTGAGGCAAACAGGATGAATTGACTTGTCCAAGGCCACATGGCTAGTAAGTGTCTGAGACTGGATTTGAAAGATGAGTCTTGCTGATGCCAAGTCCAGTGCACTATCCACTTTATCATCTAGCTGTCTGTGTGAAATTATAGGTCCTCTCAAAAAAAAAAAAAGCAACAGCACTGTGCTTGGTTTTAGGGAAACTCAAGATTTCTGTTGCTTAACATTAGACTATTATGTGTATGGCAGAGGCAGTTGGTGGCTAAGTGGTTAGAGCACTGGGCCTGGAGTTAGGAAAATCTAAGTTCAAATGGACCCATGGCAAGTCACAACCTCTCTCTGACTCAATTTCTCCAAATGCAAAATGCAGATAATAACAACATTCAAGCTCAAATGAGAAATGCTTATTCCCTCCCTTCCCCCTCACATGTACCTGTTGGACTCCCCACCAAACAGAATGTAAGCTCTTTGAGGGTACAAACTTTTTAGTTTTGCCTTTGTATCCCCAGCACCTAACACAGTACCTAGTACCTAGTAGATGCTTAATAAATGCTTGCTGTACTGAATTAAGGTGAGGGTATTAGCAGTATTATGATTGAATTTTGTTTTTTTGTTTTGTTTTGTTTTGTTTTTTCCTGAGGCAATAGGGGTTAAGTGACTTGCCCAGGGTCACACAGCTAGTAAGTGTCAAATGTCTGAGGCCAGGATTTGAACTCAGGTCCTCCTGACTCCAAGGCCGGAGCTCTATCCATGAGCCACCTAGCTGTCCCTATGATTGAATTTCTATGATAGGAAAATGGAATCATTGAATGTCAGAACCAAGAAACCTTGGAGGCCCATTTAATCCAAACCCTCTCATTGTACACATATAGAAAACAGGGCTGAAATAGGTGAATGATTTAGAATCGCAGGTCTAAAGCTAGAAGGGACTTTAAGGGGCATCCAGTCTGGCTGCTCATTTTACAGATGAAGAAATTGAGACCCAGGCAGGTAAGTGACCTGCCCAAGGTCACACTGCTGGGATAAAAAACCAGGTTTCCAGTGCTCTTTCCATTCTGAGGTGTGCATCAGGAGACTGCAATACTTTACCAATGAAGAGATGGGCAAGAGAGTCTGTTATCAAAGGATGTGCTCAGAGACATGTGTAACTAAAAAAGAAGATGGACCCTCTCGTTATTCAGAGAAAGGGCTAACCAAAGGACCCTGAGTTTGTGCCACAAGGAGAAACAAAATGTCAGGAGCAGCTGTTCTCAAAATGCGGTCCAGAGGCCCTTCCAAAGTGGCCCGGAGGCCAGAACAATTGTCATCATATAGTAAGATGTTTCCATTTCTAAACTGATAGATATCCATTGATAACATCCATTTTTAAAAAAGCTCTTTGGGGTCTTCCAACTTTTCCCGAGGTTAAAGGCCCGCTGAGACTAATGACTTGGAGAAGTGCCAGGCCTCCCAGCTTGGGATGGATCCTCTCTGGAAGAATTCAAAGACAATTGATTCTTTGGGCACAATGGCAGACTTGGACTCTGCCTCTCGGGGAGCCTCCCCAGGGATGAGCTAACAGAGGTTTCCTAGCATCCAGGTCCTTGAGGGCAAAGATCATATCTCAGTCACCTTTGGGCCACTCCCACCTTCACTGTGTCCCCTACAGGCCTGGCCCAGTGTGTTCCACACTTTCAGGGTTAGGAACTGGAAAGAGCCTTAGGGGTCACTAAATTAGCCTCCCTCATTTTACAGAGGAGGAAACTGAGGCCCAGAAAATGGAAGTGACATGCTCAATGTCGCAGGGATGTTAAAGGGTGGAGGGAAGATTCCAGAGACTTCCAGTTCAACCGTATTTTGGCTTAGGTGTTACGTGTTTGTCGAATGAATCAGGGCTACAGTTTCAGGATAGGGTTCAACTATTTGGGACCGGATCAAACCGAACCTCCATTCTCCCAAAAGGTCGTGTTCCTCCTTCCTCCACCCCCCTCCCTAAGTAGGTTAAGATCTGGGGTTTGGGGCAGCCTGGGTTGGGGGTTGAGGAAGTGAGGAGCTGACGTCACCTGCTGCCCAGTCTCCTGCCCGCTACTGGCACTCGCCCTCCTTTGGGCGCTTGGACCGAGCCTGGGACGGGGGCAGCAGGAAGAGCCCCCTGCTGTCCCTGGCTCCCCCCTACCCCCGGTCGCAGTGTGGCACAGGGGTGACTGGGCCTGGGGGCCTCCACGTCTGGGTCGGACATCCTTCCTCCTCCCTCTCCTCCTCCTCCTCCTCCTCCCCTCCTCCTCCTTTTCTTCCTTCCTCCCATCCCGGCCGGCGGAGCCCCAGAGGCATAGGCGGAGGCACGCACGCGCGGGCATATCGACCCCGGCACCTACACGAACGCGCGCGGCGCGCGCCCTTTCCCCTGCTTGCACGCGGGCGGGTTTGTGTGAGTGTGTGTGAGTTGTGTGTGTGTGTGTGCGTGAGTGTGAGTGTGTGAGTGTGTGTGTGTGTGTGTGTGTGTGTGTGTGTGTGCGCGAGCGCGCGCGCGCTGCGCAGCGCTCAGGGCCAGGCCGGGCCGGGCCGGGCCGGGCCGGGCCGAGGGCAGCGAGAATGGAAGGCGGTGCGTACGGAGCGGGCAGGGCTGGGGGCGCCTTCGACCTCCAGACCTTCATCCGGCAACCCCACACCGTGCTGCGCCTGGTGTCCTGGGTAAGGACCGGGCGCACGGGGCCAGGGCTGGGAGGGGCTGGGAAGCTGCAGCGGTGGGTAGCAACTGCGGGGGCTTGGGATGCGCCAGCACGCCCCCCAGGATCGCAGGATGGGTGCGCAGTGGCCGAAGTGGGGGAGGGGATTCCCGGGGTGCCAGGCGTGTGGCTCAAAGCCCCAGGTAGCAGGGGGTGGGGTGGGCTTCACTTTCTCTGTGCTCTGAGCGCCCCAGAGAGCACCCCCTCCCCATTTCCCGGGCCTGAGGATCTGGGGTCTCGAGCCTGCGGCCGAGGCTGGACAGCGACCGAGGCGGAGGCAGGCCAGAGGCCGTCTCCCCACCTTGACCTCCAATATCAGTTGCCCCGAGCCTAGGCTCGGGTGGCGCCTTCGCTTTCCCCGGCGGTGGCGATGATGGTAGCTGGGAGTAAACAACTTTAGGCTGGCACTGGGAAGGGTCTGGCTCCTGTAGGGAGGGTGGAGAAGAACGAAGTATGGGGGGAAATGGCCACCTGAACCAAAAGGGGAGGACTGGGAGAAGACAAGACCTTCAGTGACTGGAGTGATTGGGGAGGGGGCAACCCCCCTCTCAAGTGCTAAAGACAGAGTGGCACAGGGCTGGTGGAGGGCAAGACCGCGCCAGCCACAGGCTGAGCTCTGTGTGGGGACGTGTTTGTGCCAGAAGGTCACCGGCATTAAGGGAACGGGAGCGCCCTGCAGGTGCACAGAGAGATTGAGGTCTCAGCCCAGAGAGGGACTAAGAGAGCGCCAGCTTGGCCGAAGGGCGAGCCCAGCTCGGGAGGAGGTGTACCAGAAGTCCTTCCTGCGTCTCTCTCCCCCAGCCTCCCAGCAGGGGCTTCTGAGCTAAGATTAAATGGAATGAAAAGGGGCGGAATGGATTCAATTGGATTAGTCAGCCTGTTGCTTGGACAGCTGGGAAACCTAAAGGGCTTCTTGGACCTAAATGGGCCTCTCATTCGTGGTAAGGGAGGGAGGAGAGACACCTAGGGCTCTCGGCAGACGTAAGCAGAAAGCTTTGAGGTGGCCTGCGGGCCTGGGTGGGGAGCTGGGATGTGGGGCTAAGGCTAGGTTGGGTTAAGCCGCGGCAAGCTTGGCCGCAATGCTGAGCTGAGCAGTACTGCGCTGCGGTACCTGCTGGGGAGCGGCGGGGCTCTGATCCCGAACAGGCTCCGTGGTTGGCTCGGAAGGGGAGGCGGCTCTGACCACCTCGCCCCACTCCCTTCCCGCTCCTAGGACCCCAACCAGTAGCTGAGCCTGAGGTTTCTTCGGGAGCCATCCTGGCTCACTGACCAAGCAGGGTTTGAGTGGACATTTACACTCAGACTTTTATTATGTCTCATTCGCTCTGTGGCAGGCCCTGGAGGGGGGGCCGCAGGAAGAGCAGAGAAGGGCCGGTTCCTCACTCTCCTTTCTGGTGCCTTTTGTGGGGTTTGGAGTTCACTGTGCAGTAATCCCTGGGCTGTTGTGAACAGCCTGAAAGGCTGCTCATATTTGACTTTGGCTGCTGAAAGGGGAGCAGGTTTCCCCTTCCCTCTTCCTCTTGGGGCCATTAAAACCTTGTCTTTGTGGCAATGAAGTAACTCTCTCTTTTCTCAAGTCTGATGAAGTGTCTTTGTGCCCTCCTAGGGCCCTAGGAGGTTCTACCTCCCTGCAGGTTGACCTGCTGGGTAGAAGGTGGGGGAGTGGAGAGCAGGAAGGAAGGAAGCTTCCTGGCCCCTTGTCCTAGCAAAGGTCGGTTGGGAGGGAAAGAACTGGAAGTCAAAATCTAGATCCCAGAAGGAGGCATGGTGAGCCGCCTCTACCAGAGTCTTAGCAACATAGAATTTCAGAGGTAGGTGAGTCAGCAAAGGTCCACTACTCCACTGCCTCACCCCCCCACCCCCATTTTAAAGATGGGGAAATACAATCCTACTAGGGCCCAAAGGCCCCCTTAAAAGGTTTAGTGGAGAGAGGAGACTGAAACTTTTGTTTAGATGAGACTTGGGGATCTTCTGTGAATGTAACTGATCTGTGCAATCTCTGTGCACTTAAGAGACACATTCTTGTTTCAACCATTCTTTCTTTGTTCAATTGTGTCTGACTCTTCACGGCCCCATTTGAGGTTTTCTCAGCAAAGATACTAGAGTGGTTTGCCATTTCTTCCTCCAAATCATGAGTGTTAAGTGTTTTGTTAAGTGATTTGCCCAGGGTCACACAGCTAGTAAGTATCTGAGCTGGGATTTGAACTCTGGTCCTCTTGACTCCAGGCCTTCACTCTATCCACTGTGCTACCTAGCTGCCCCAGTTCAGCACAATTCAGCAAACAAGTATTAAGTATTAAGTTAAAAATCCTATGCAAGATGCATAGGATTCATAAAAAGGAGACAGTTCCTGTCCTTATTAAAATCTAGAAGAAGATATTAGTCATAGCCACAAAGAACCAAGATAGAAAGCAGAATGTGGCAAGCCGGGTTTGATCTAAGAATGGGGCTGAAGTGAACGTCATGGTAAAACAAAAGGCACCCATTTAAAAAGAAAATGCAAATGAAGATTGTGGAGATGTTTTGGTTGTGGCAGAAGGGAGTGGAGCACTGGCTTTGGAGACAGGGGCCCAAGTTTTCAATTCCACACCTAATATTCCATGAGTGACCTTGGGCAAGTCAACTCTTGCGTCTGAGACATCAGTTGTAATATAAAAGCAATGGAATTGAGCATCAGTATCTGTCTAGGACATCGGGACCCCTGGCAGGAAAGAGACCAAGCCCTGGGCTCCTGTCCGTGCACCAAGCTTGCTGCCCCTGCAGGTTGGCAGCGAATCCACCCACCATTGGTTTCCAAGAATTTATTAAGCACTCACTTTGTGCTAACCACCGAGACATTAATGAAAATCTATTCATTCACTGAGCACCTACTCTACAGGCCCAAATTCCAGCCACTGTGGGAGATACAAAGGAAAGTGAGAATCAGTTGGAACTTGTCCTCAAAGAGCTTACAATCTAGAAGTGGGGATGGTATTAATACTAGCTCCCATTTCTATGACTTTTTCTATGTGAGCCTTAGTTCAGTCAGTTAACTAGCATTTTTTTTTTGGCTGATTCTTTTTTAATTAATTAATTTATTTATTTTTAGTTTTCAACATTCACTTCCATAAGCTTTTAAGTTTTAAATTTTCTCCCCCTCCCTCCCCACCCAAGATGGGTGCAATCTGATATAGGATCTCCATATACATTCCCATTAAACATATTTTCACATTAGTCATGTTGTAAAGAAGAATTAAAATGAAGAGGAGGAATCACAAGAAAGAAGAAACAAAAGAGAAGAAAAAAAATAACAAATAGTCTGCTTTGATCTGAATTCAGACTCCATAGTTCTCTCTCTGGATGTGGATAGCATTTTCCATCATGAGACTTTTGGAGATGTCTTAGATCCTTGCATTGCTGAGAAAAACTAAGGCTATCAAAGTTAGTCATCACACAATATGGCTGTTACTGTGTACAACATTCTCCTGGTTCTGCTCGCTTCACTCAGCATCAGACCATACAAGTCTTTCCAGGTTTTTCTGAAGTCCTTCTGCTCATCATTTCTTATGGCACAAGAGTATTCCATTGCATTCATATACCACAACTTGTTCAGTCATTCCCCAACTGATGGGCATCCCCTCAATTTCCAATATTTTTGGCCACCACAGAAAGAGCTGCTGTAAATATTTTTGTACATGTGGGTCCTTTTCCCATTTTTATGATCTCTGGGATTCAGCCCTAGAAGTGCTATTGCTGGGTCAAAGGGTATGCACATTTTTATAGCCCTTTGGGCATAGTTCCAAATTGCTCTCCAGAATGGTTGGATCATTAACTAGCATTTATTAAGGGCCCATTGTATGCCTCTGTATACTGCCTTAAACAAGAATTCCTGAAGCATTCTCCAAACAACCACCAAGTGGGAGAGACAGTATTCCCATTCTTAATCCCATTTTACAAAAGGAGGTAAATGAGGCTCAGAGGGGGTTACAGAACCTGCCTGGGGTCACACAGCCAAGAAGTGTTAGCATCCTAGGTTCATAGATTTACAGCTGGAAGGGACCCTGAGGGACATCCAGACCAACTGTTCTATTTTACAGATGAGGAAATCAAGACCCAAGGAGGTTTTGTGACTATTCAGAGGCACACAGGGCTTGAACCCAGGTGTCCTCATTCTACCTATCCAAAAATTGTAAGATGACACAATGTGGAAAAGCCCGTAAGCGGGCTGAAAAGTGAGTCAAGAAGGGGGAGGGCTTTCTGCTGGCCAGGGGTTACTTGGGGAAGGCTTCAGAGAGAGTTGGTACATACCCCCAGGATCAAAGGACAGGTGGAGGTGAGGGAAGAAACAACATGAACAAAAGTCCCCCACCCTTCTCGGGATGGGCTCCAGCTTGTAACTGTGATTGCTAAAATGGGGAGTAAAGAATGGGAAACAAGGGGGCAGCTAGATGGTGGCTCTGGAACCAGGAGGACCTGAGTTCAAATCTGACCACAGACACTAGCTGTGTGACCCTGGGCAAGTCACTTAACCCTAATTGCCTCAAAAAAAAAAGAAAAAGAATGGGAGACAGGGCTCCTGATCATGGGTGGGCAGGAACACAGCTCTCCATCTGGAAGGGCTCCCAGAGGCCACTCAGTCTAGCCCTTCAGCTTGCAGAGGAAGACTGATATGCCCAAGGTTATACAGGTAGTAAAAGGTAGGACCTCTCTTTGAACCTGGGCCTTCTGATTCCTAATCTAGCACCCAAGCTGTTTGCCCAGGGCAAGGTTGGGAGGACAGTAGTTGTCTCAAAGCTGCCAACTTCTAATGCAGTATCGACTCTATAAATAATAAAAGCGTCAGTCAGACAATGCTGCTCCTAGTTCAGTGTTTCCATTTTGGCTGCCAGATGCTCCTTCCAGGGATGGCGGCCTATTCAGGTTGGGAGAACAGGCAAGAACCAGGATGTGGGGTTTCCTCTTGTTTTAGGGAGCCATCTTGGCCAT